TTCTGCTCTCATGACGTCTTTTCTACTCGTTTGATATACTTTCATATATACTTATACAAAGGTACATCTGATATAAGTTTTGTTTAAATGTTAACGTAAGTTATGTTAACATGTGTAAGTACTGACCCTTACAGAACTAATAGTTCAACTTGACTTACCGTTGTTTGGACCTGTGTTTTGTATGCCTATATGAAGATGTGCGGATGATCTTCCGGTCAAAAAGCCTGTGTTAGGTAATGTCCGATTACAAGATGTTTGGGCGGCGTTGGTCTCTGTAAGATAGATCAGTGAGGTTTGAAAGAAAAATGACAGGACAATGAACGTGTAAACCAGCTTATAAATTACCTTGATGTCATTGTTTTAGCGCACGAGAGAAAATATAGTTACGAGAAAAAAACCGTTACATTTAGTTGTCAGCATTTTCAGTGTTTGTGTACAACATCGTGATGTACATGCTGCATAAAATTTGCCTTACCTTCAATGCATGTAATCTTGTTCTTTTTCTTGAAAAGCTAAAACGAAATATCGATGGGTAATCAGAGATGTTCTTATTTCGTGTGAAACGTATACTTAGGTTAATTGTACAATAATATAATATACAATGTCGTTTCACATACATGACAATTAAATTGTTCGTGGTTCTCGAATGAGAACAGAATAGTGTAGAACGTAATCATATTGGTTTGATTTCTCTAAACTTAACTTTCATCAGTATGACTGCTTCTTTAGAAGGTCTGTGGTTTGATTAATATCTATAAGTCTTACCAAGTCAAACATGATCTTAGACTGCCTGGCATCGTTCGCGCAGCACACCCTATCACCGTTAAAATCTGACTTCACGTCCAGTTCTCTTGTAGCCTCATTTTCTTCGTCAAATGGGGACAAGGTCAGTTCGTCGCAAAGCAGACAGATCTTCCTGTCAAACAAATTGTTTGTTTCTTTCTGAAGTTGTGCTCGAACTTGTTCCAGATTGAAGAACAAAACTGCAACGCATGCGCTAAGGACGACGCAGAAGAGTGAAAGAATAATGGCAACGATGATTAAGATGCAAGAAAACCGATCGGAAGATTTCTTTGCGGTAAGAGGGCGAAGGTCACAACCAGCACTACCGGAAAGAATGCTGGTACATGAACCAGTTGTGGAGATACTCGCCGACCGCTCACTGTTCTGGTATTTGGCGTTCGACAAATCGCAAGGAATGTCGTAATGGCTGTATGATGGATTGGAAGACATCTTTCTACCAAACAGGCAGTCTGAAACAACAAATACTATTATTAGGAAACGAGAGAAGTACATGATAGGAAGAAGATAATGAAAACAAATTTACATTGAAATGTATTTTATAACAAATATATTTTGATAGATAAAAACTACTAAGAAAAGTAAAATGCATAAGCAAGGAAGAAATTAGGGAAAACAACCACAAAATTGAAAAGGATATGCATTATCATGATAAACGATATTGATCTACCTTGTGATTTTGAAACATACAGCATATTTGTCTGTCTGTGTGTCCGTCTGTCTGTGTGTCTGTCTGTCTGTATCTTTATCTGTTCGTCTGTATTCTTCAGTATGCGTGTTATTTATATTTCTGTGTTGATGTTCGACGTAAAAGGTTGGACCTGCCACGCATTCCACTTAAAAGTTGTATTTCACCGTTCACCAACCGTCACAGAATAATTAAACATTGATTTCAGTTTTAAACAGACTGCCATCTGTTTCATCAGAAAATTAAATTTCCACATTCATTTGATATCAATATCGATAACATTACATATATTGATTCTATGCGCTCAGCTTCATGTTGTACCTGTGCAATACTAAAACACAGACTTTAATATCATTGACATTAAATTTGTTGCTAACATATCTTTCAGATATAACGAGGTACGCTGACATAGTCATTTGACACAAAATAATACAAGCAGAACCTGTGGTAATAAGTCGAAAGGATTTTGTTTATCTGTTTTTGTTTTTGTTTTTGTTTTTTTTTTTTTTTTTTTTTTTTTTTTGGTGTTTTGGGTTTTTTGTTTTGTGTTTTTTTTTTTGTTTTTTTAGAAACGACAACAAAAAGAGCACATGTACTTAATGATAAAAACGCTTTTTGTCCTCTATTCCATATGCCAACATGACCCAGAATGTCTTCTACTGATCAAGGAAGTGTATATTTAGGCCACAGAGGCGTATACATACAAAGGTCCTTTTATTATAGTGTACACTAAATCTGACGAGAATAGCATTAGTATTGCATGATATAGATATACATATGAAAAAAAAAAGAAAAGGAACAACTTTTTCCAAAAAATCATCTAGTAAGATAATCGCAAGTTGATACGAAATATATATACAGAATCAGACTGAATATTTGTTTCCTTGCTGATAATATACTTAACATGCAGAGGATATACATTTGACCTTAAATCAAAAAGATTTCCGTATATCCTGATTTCATTTATAGGTATCTTGTTCCGTTGAACGATATCTATATTTTACTTACATGTGTAAATATACAATGTATATCGTCAAATCAATAAAGATATCCCTACATAAATCAAGGATATCTCTGTTTTATTTTTATAAATTATTAATTAACCAGGTACTACATATCATTAAATAATGGACTTATGAAATAAATTATTTATGTACTCTTTTTGTTAGAATTCAGAAATAAGATTATATATAATAAACATGGTCCTAATAACTCAGATCAGTTCAGGTAAGGCTTAAATCGACATGTACATATTGATTTAAAAAAAAAACCCAAATAAGTAGTGTTTGAATCGATACTTCAGGAGTCACTGTCGCTCTCTGAACAAACGATAGTGAGTGTAATACCTTGAATATTGAGGACGTGTCTCAATGCCTATCAATAAAACTATGAATGATGTATTACTACAAATATTCCCTATGCTTATTTGTGAAGTGACTAATTATTGAAAAAGAAAAGATATCTTTTTATTCTATGGACTTTCAAATTTCGAATTATCGGATGCCTCGGTTCCAATCAGATTTAAGTATAATTCGAACTTATACTGTATTTCACGGAGAAGTTTATATTTCGTATACAGTCCGCTCTTACCATGGTACTCACCTCTGCTTTATCGGAGTTCTCTTCTGGCCAAGCCAATACCGGTTAAAGGCATTTTGATATACATAGACATACCCGGAACAAACAGAGTTATGACTCTGGAATACCCAAGTCACGGGTAATGAACATATAGGACAGGTTTATCCTACACATATGTGGAATTGACCTCATTGTACTAGAAAATACAGGTTATATTTGAGACAGGAGATCGTTATACTGTGGAGTTGTTGACCTATGCGAACATAGGTTTGTATTATCTTTAAATCTGAAACTGAAGGGGACTTTCTCATTTGCCCCCTCCTTTTACATACCTTCTCTACCCACCTAATCTCCCATTAAAATTCATTCAATCAATGCATAGTTCAATTTGTTTTAAGTCATTTTGTGTAGATAGTTAGGTTTTGTATAATTATTTTTTGAGAAGGGAGTGATATATGTTTAAAAAAAAACTTGTACCGGTTACCCATTTACTGCAGTCAGATATTTTTTATTTAAACCAAATAGAATCTTAGCATCGGAAAAAAGGTTGAAATTGTTGATCGAATCATGACGTGAACTTTGCCGTTACAGAATGGTGACCATTGAGGAAAGTGTACACAACCATTGATAATAAAGTACATTAAAACGCAAATGTATGTGATACATGTACTACACATGTACTTTGGAATTTATAGTGAATCATGCCTTACGTTCGGTTCAACGAGTCCTTCATATATCCTTAAACTGTACAGAATTAATAGGAGTCATGATTTAGAATTAGCATTAGGGTTTTCTTTCAGATGGATTTCAATCATGTCCGGTTACAAACTTTCGAGTCCGAAATCATGTTACAGAATGTAGGCTGGTACCGATTTGTAAATCCTTCTTAGCTCAAACTCACTTTGATGACCGAATCTATTGCTTATGTTCGAAAATTTGAACTTTAATGTATATTACAAACAAACCATCAAACGCAAACCAGTGTTACGAAGCGACAATTCCAGAAATGTATTGACATACATGATATTGATCAATTACGGTGGCCTATTTCAAACTGAACAATACATTAAACATCCCCTGTATTCCCTGTAAACACGTATCCCTCCATCGTGGTAGTTTATGTCGAAGAGGTAGCACTCTAAAGTGCAAGTGACTGTAACGTGCACCCTTATGGTAGCGTGCGTGCACGCCGGGCTCTCAATTTATACGGAGCTACCTGTTCCAGAGGCGATCGGGATACCTCGGCTACCTGGCCGAACAGTTGAACAAAATAACACAAACAATATATCAATATACACTACAATAGAATGGACAGTACCCTTGTCCTCCCTACACCGTCGCCTGGACGTAGATCACACCACAAGACTATAACACACCACAACACTCAACAGCCTGCCAGCACCATGACACTGTCACTACTACAGGCACGTCGCCGAGCTGACCACCGTACAGCTCCGACGTCGCCTGTCAGTGTCCTGCTGTTACAAAGTACTAAGATAAGGTGTCAGTTTTTGTATCAGCAGTCAGGCGTACCAGAGCAGCCTTTGCAGGCGACTCCTTATCCAGAAGCTTCTGGCGTACCTGACTCGTCAACTTACTGGCACCAACCACACGTACACTGTTACCCGAGTAGCCTTATTCAGGCAACCCCTTATACAGGAGCTTCTGGTAACAGTATGCAGCCAATGCTTACCTTATTGTTACGCTGCACACTCTGTGTGTCTTCAGAACTTCCAGCCCACAGTACCGGTTTCAATTAGCCTTTACATAAAATTTGGTGTAACATTCTGGGTGTCATTAATTTGCAGATTAACAAAGCACCAAAACTATCTCATAACCCAAAATACGTATATATTTATTCATTATAAAGTATGATGACATATATAGAAAACACCAGTTTCCTTTACAAATTAGTCAATCATCGTTAATTACATTAATTATGTATATTACATGAAGGGAGATAACTCAAACTGAATAAAATCACCACTTGACTTTTGCGAAATAGACAAAATCGCTGAAGAACAGTGATTCAATATTTGCATAAGAAAGGTCTAGACATTACTGATATAGTAGCTACACAACGAAATTATGAACCTTTCTATGCTACAGTAAAAAGGTGGGTGGCGGGATCTAAGCGTGACAGAGCCTTGGGCATGACACCCGTCCTGGAAGGCCGGTCACTGTTGCAACCCCAGAAATGGGCAATAATGTCCAAGATATTGTTAAGACTGACAGGCGAGTTACAGACCAATATATAGCCAGTACAGCTGGGATTTCATTGGAAAGAAGAGTAAATTCCATTCTTACGGACGATCTTGCAATGAGAAAGATGTCAGCCCGTTAGGTATCAAGACTTCTGTCAGTTGATCAGAAACACACCAGGCGGACTTTGTCGCGTGCTAATCTGAACCTTCTATCAATCTGCAGAGGTTTGTGATATGAATGAAATTTAGGTAAATTATGTCACCCCAGAGGCCAAACAACAGTATAAACAAAGAAGGCAACAACACATCCAACAGATTGAAAGTTCATTGTCGTGGTTTTCTAGGATGCTCGTAGTATTCTAATGATAGATTATCTGAAAAAGGGTCAAACAATCATTGACATATATTATGCATCACTTCATAAGCAGCGAAGAGAAAATAGTAAACTCAAGCGCCGCGGAAAACTCAATAAAGGTATGTTTTTTTATTAGGACAATTCCCCTGTTAACAAGTCTGTCATTGTCATGGCTTTCATTACTGATTTTGGCTTTGAACTGATTGAGCACCCGCCTTACTCGCCTGATCTCGCTCCATCAAACTTCCTTTTATTTAAAAAAAAGGCAATTTCCGGTACCCACTTTCAGTCAGATGAAGACGTTATACATGTAGAGAAAAAATATTTTGAACGGTCAAGAAAAGGACTTCTTTAATAGTGGAATTGTGGCACTTAAACATCGCTGGTAAAAGTGAATAGATAGTGAAGGGGATCACGGTGTAAAATAATGCGTTAAGTCAAACTATTAAATATGAGGCTCACAACTTATGAATCAGCCCTCTTGGTTAAGTGGTTAATTTGTTTCCAATGGCGTTCAATACATCGAGAATTGTCGGGATTTTACAAATTTTCATTCCCGGCTATCAGTCTTACCGACTCTCTATACCAAAGAGAGAGATAGGGGGAG